ACTGATCAGGTGTCTGACTAGTGCTGATCGATAACTGATCAGGTGTCTGACTAGTGCAGATCGATTACTGATCAGGTGTCTGCAGTCTATGATGATCTAACTCACCATCTTTCGACTGAAGTCTGATGGACCATCTTATGATCTGAAGCTCTGCAGATAAAAACTGATGGAACCCTTTGACCTGCAGCTTCAGGTGGGTTTCTGTGTTGATCAATAATCACGTGATTGATCTGTACGCTCTCCGTCCTGCAGCTAAACTGGTCCCGGTGGGCTACGGCATCAAGAAGCTGCAGATCGGCTGCGTGGTCGAAGACGACAAGGTGACGTGTTTTCCACTGTGGTGTTCCTGTGGACGTGTTGGTGTTTCCAGTGTGTGTGGAGGTGCTGACCTGTGGTTTCCTGTTTCAGGTGGGCACCGACATCCTGGAGGAGCACATCACAGCCTTCGAGGATTTCGTTCAGTCGATGGACGTCGCAGCTTTCAACAAGATCTGAACACAAAGCGTCACATTTAATAAAGCACTTCAACACACACCAAACTGTCTCTGGTTCTCTGATTTCAGCTTTGACCTCCAGGTGGCGCCACAGAAGTAGCCGGGTCTCCTCTGTTGCACTGTTTTTATGAAGTTATCTGTTTCCGTTAGGAGGAGTTTAGAAATATTTTGTTGCTGCGTCAGTGATGTTTTAAAGAAGTCTGATGGAGCAAATCTGAACATAACGGCAGAAAAATAAACTGTTGAAGCAGATCCAGACCTTCAGCACAGTGTCAGTGTGTTGATTTCAATCAGACCTTCTGACTGCTACAGATCAGGTATTACAGGTCGCATCTCGAGCTGTACTTCTGCTGAGTACTTCACATACTGTAGATACTGGTATGTGCTGCTGCAGTTCTCTGTGCGGCCTGGTGGCGGCAGCAGCTCCCCGCTGGTCTGCCACAGATTCAGCAGCAGAAGAAGAATCAGACCGGAAACTAAACAGAGCGGCTGATCAGCGCGCGGCGGAGCAACACTTTAATCTGCGAGGAAACTAAACAACAACAAACAGCTGCAGGTAAACAAACCCGTCATCGAGCTCTACACACCTGCGTGTTCGCCCCGAGCCAGCCAATCAGCTCCTCTGTACGGCCGCGGCGGAGCTAACAGGCTAACAGTGTGCTAGCGGCTAGCCGCATGCTAACAGCGGCCGCAGCGGCGGCGCCACGTCAGCAGCGGCGTCACCATGGTTACGGTTAGTCCGGTTTAACCTGGAGTTAGCTCGGGATTAGCGAGCCGGTTTAAAAACGGGCTATCTGATGCTCGTTAGTTTCAGACAGAATCAGCCAATCACAGCGCAGCGCCGAGCGGCAGCCAATCACAGCGCAGGATGAGCGGCGCTCTGATTGGCCGGTTGTTTGTTTGTACAGGTGGCGTCAGTAAACAGGAATGTTTACCTTAACCAGCTGAGTTTATACTAATCAGGTTCAGTTTAGTCGAGTTAACTTATAGAACTGATTAAATGTAGTTTAGTTCACTTCTTTAATGTTTATTTTAGTCAAGTTTATTCATATATTTACTGTTGAATGTTGTTTTTAATTCATAACTCACGTTTATTTAATTAGACTAATTATGTAATTAATATGTCAGATAATGTTGGATTTAATTGCATTAGTTTTAAAGTATTTAACATAATAAAACTAATGCTGGATGTTTTCGGGTTCATGTGCAGATCAGCTGTCAAAGAGAAGAACGGCTTCATTCATGTAGTTAGTTTTAGTCATGTTCCTATTATGTGTATTGATACTGTTGATTATAGGTGGAAGTCTGTGATCAATAACTTCTGGCTGATTGTTATTCTTCAGGCTCATGGACCCTCCACCTGAACCCCTCACCTGGTTACCGCTGGTTACAGCATGGCGTGCCCTGATTGGACAGACACTTCACTGACTGAACCTCCGCCAGGTGAGTGCTGAGCGTGTTTGTGTCGAGGTTAGACTTCAGATCAGGTGTGTTTTAGGTTCAACGCCACACAAAGGTGCTGTCAAGAACATTTACTGTGTTTAAGCACCGTTTGGTTACAGTCAGGTTCTGTTACAACATTTAATTATTGTTAATTAGCAGAAGAATAAATCTTATTTGTAAGTGCTGACAGCACGACGATTGTTCACAGTTACGGATGTTTGTGTGTTTCAGATCTCCAGTCAGGATGTCAGACTCCTCGGATGAAGGTAAAAACGAACCATTTCAATACTTACTTTATATTTCTCTGACTTACCCTCCTCTCTGTGTTTTCGTCAGATGACCAGAGGAAGGCGGAGCCTACCAGCAGGTGAGTCCACCTGGACAGCGTTCTAAACGCGGAGGGTCCACATCTCTCCACCAACCACACCCAGACCTGATCTTAGAAAATCACTGACCTTCATGTTGTATTTGTTCGTTCACATGATCCGTTATGTTTTCCATTATTAATGATAATAATGGTTTGGTCTCTGCACGGTGTTCTGCTGGAGAACATCAGACAAGAACACTGATCTCTAAAGAACTTTTAGAAAATGAGTTAATTTCCTCTTTTGCTTTAACTGGTGACCAACAGTTAAAGTTTAGCAGCTACGCGAACAGCTCAGTGCTACACCAGCATGAGACAGGTGAGCTCTGGAGGCAGGTGAGCCAGTGATCAGAGTTTGTTCTCTGTCTCACAGGATGTGGGCGGAGTCCCAGCCAGGTCCATCCAGATGTCAGCCCAGCAGACAGGGTTACTGTGGATACTGCAGAGTCCTGTACAGCAGCCTGGACCAGGTACAAACACCTGAATCCCACCTGTAGTCATGTGACCTGAGCTGCTGAGCCAGAAGTAACCCAGTAATGTTTGTCTCAGCACCTGTCCAGTCTTAAACACCTGGATTCGGTCCGGTCATCCTCAAGAGGCTCCAGCACCATCTCCTCAGCCAGCAGCAGAAGCAAACTAACCCTGCTGGAGCGCTTCCTGCAGNACACACCGGTAACACACCTGTAACACACCTGTAACACACCATGGGTAACATGTGCAACCTCAGGAGAGAACAGAAGCTAAAACATTACATCTGCTGTGTTCAACATGCAGCCGACTCGGAGACTGAAGCTGGTTTATGAACAGAGAACGCTGCTGATTTTATTCTGGTTGTTGAAAATAACATTTAAAAAACAGTGAGACATACAGGTCACCTGTCTGTCAGGTGAGTCCGTGATTTACCTGAGGACAGTTGGAGGAGCGAGCCTGACCCATCACTCTTCTTTTATCCTGTGAAATGTTTCTTCTTCTTCAACCCTGCGAGCTGTTTTCCTTCATGTGTTCTCATAAAGAGCAGTGTCATGAAACCTTTGAGAGCAGCTGACTGAAGCTCGGCTCTCTAACATCTCTCAGGTGTGTTCAGGTTCATTCATGCCGGCGGCCAATCAGAGAGCAGCATCCAGTGAGGGCAGGTCATGTGACTGTGTGGCAGGTCTGACTGCATTCTTTGCTGCCTGAACCCAAACACACCTGATTCCACTGAGACGCTGGACGAAGAAGCAGCTTGAGTTTTAGCAGAGACTCAGAAAAATGAACTGGAGCTAAAGTTCCTGTTTGGAGGTTATTGATCACCTCCAGTAATAACGATGACGTCATCCTCCGATCGCCTTTACAGCAGATATTTAGACAAATTGAGGAGTTTAAAACTGTAAAGTCACACCACAGTTTTACCCATCTGAACATCTTATCTCATGATTTAGTTTGTTTTTTCTTATCATGTGGACCTTTTATCATTTCAAAATCTAAATTTCAAACTTTCAACTATTTTGTGGTTTTTTTTTTTACAGTTTATCTTAAACTATTGGAGTTTTTTGGATCAATTTTATTTTTAAGTCATAATTTTGATTTTTAATATCTGAATTCAAGCTTTTTCTTAAATGTTAACAGATGAACTCAATCTAAATGTTTGAGTTTCACTTTAATCTGCACATTTTTATCAGGATTATAGTTTGTAACCAAAATAAAAATAAAACTTTATCTCGAATTATTAATATTTTACTAATTATTTGATTTCTTCTCATATTTTGTGTTTTAACACCTGAATTTAACTTCATCTTAAACTCTTTTCTCCTCAAAACTTTAATTCTGTTGAATTATTTTACATTTTCTCTCAAAATCAGGATTTTAATATTGATGTTTTGTTTTATTTCAAATGGGTTTTATCTCCTAATTAATTTAGTTTTGTTCTGATTTTTACATCGTGTCTCAGAATCTAACTGTGAATGTGTTTGAAGCTGCTGACATCAGGTCCAGTCGCCCTGAGGAGCTCCGCGGCTCTTCTCTGGTGACTCCTGTTGTGTCCCAGACTAGTTTAAATAAAGCTCTTTGATGAAGACCTCCGCCTCCTCCGGGTCAGCGGGCTGAAGGAGGAGCGGTGCCCGCTGAGGAGGAGTCTGTCTCCGGCTATAAAGGCCGCTCCTCCCGCCTCCTCCCTCCTTCTCCTTCCTCCTCCGGCGGCTCCTTCATCATCAAGATGGGCTTCGGCGACCTGAAATCAGCCTCCGGCCTCAAAGTGCTGAACGACTTCATGTCGGAGCGCAGCTACATCGAGGGGTCAGTGCAGCACAACGGTAGAACCCGTAGGGAACAGTAGAACCCGTTCAGAACAGCAGAGCTCCGCCACGGCTCCGTGCCGGTGCCGCCATCTTGGCTCCGCGCTGAGCTAACGTGGCTAACAGTTAGCCGGCAGGCTGCAGGCTGAGCGGAGTTTAAACATTAAAACTCACCGACAGGGAGCCGTAGCGGTTCTGGGACAGGTGAAAGAGCTGCCGGGAGGTTCGGCTTCTGTTCGGCTACTGTTGGGCCTCCGTTGGAGTTTAATTAGTTTATTTTATTTCCGTTTGACATGAAGAAGCTTCTTGCTGTTAGCATGGAGCCACATGGTGCTAACAGGCTAACTCCTCAGGTTGATACGTGTCACATGTCTGAACACAGTCCTGT